TTAAGCTCTAATACTGTTAGTTATTTCTAATTATTCCATGGATAAATTTATTTATTTTTCATTTTTGGTCCTATGTCGAAAAAGTTTAGTGTCAAGAGATAAAGTTTATTTGAATCGTTTGTAGGTATTAGAGAGAACAATTAAATTGGTAATACACTGAGGAAAAAAATCAACTTCAAGCCGAAGTTAAATAAATGTTTAATAAAATCTTTCAAAGGGTGAGAAATTAATGTATTGTCGATATATTTTCCTACACACTTATAAACAATTGTATTAATACAAAGACATGCTTTCAGGTTTATTTTTTTAAATTATTAGGTGTTGCCAACATAAACAAGAAAATTCACAGAGAGGCAAAATACCAAAAATACATGTATCACTTGTATGTTTACAGAGTATAAAAACTTAAGATATGAGGCCAACCTACTGACCGAAGTCAATGGAGTCCTTCTATTCATTACTATGTAAAGTTTTCGACACAAATTGTAACCCCACCTTACCACCGGGTCATGATTTGAAAAATATATAAATGTACACAACCCTACAATGTTTCTAAACAAAGAAGACAAATATTTGCTGTTCTTGAAAAGAAAACGTATTTCAATGTAAAACAATTATCTCTTATTGTGGCCCTATTCATACACTGTGGTTATGATCTGAATACTTTTCAGAAAGCATTCACAAAAGATTCCTTTTTTACTAATTTTCAAATTCTTGAGAAAAAGATCTCAAAACTTTTTTCGTATTTCAATGGAAATCTCTGATCCCCTATTGTGACCCTTGTGGCAAATCACAATTACACGGAAATCTTCTTTTTATAATTTATTCTGACGATTAAAGGCAAAACAAATCCACAAGGGTTAACAATCACAATACCACATTGGCTAAGATGATCAGATGGTTTCTGATATGTATTCAATATTTCTTCAATGTAAACACAATATAAAATCGATAATTTAAGATCACAAAAACTCTCATATATATAGTATTAAAGAAACTTCTGGAAATAGAAACTAATATAAAATTCTAGATCATCACATTCTTAAATATTCTAGAGAATTCTTGATAATTAATTCATGAAACATATAGAACATTCTAGATTATACCTGTACATCATTAAATTTCTAGAAAATACATTAAAATTGCGACAATTCGCAACACTCCCAAGACCAAGGAAAGTTAATTATTAATTTAATTGTTCCTTTATAAGTTTTGTCGCTCTTTCAGCGGCCTGTCTTTTTGTTCTAGGTAAGGGAGGAATAACATCGACTGCTGGCTCTTCCTTCGTCATATCACTATCACCATGGTCAGGTTTATCGGTGCATTCTATAGGATAAAGTAAATTTAATGGTCGGTTTAATATTCTTTTGTTAGGTAACATTACCTTTCCGGACCTGTATTGTCCATCTTGACTCATTGTCAAATCGCAAATTCTTCCAATCTTCCAGCTTCCTCTAGGGAGATCTTCTTTGATGAGGACAACATCACCAATTCTTACCGGCCTGTTGTTTTGAATCCGTTTTCCTTTTAATTTATAGGATGCTCTTTCTCTTAGACTTAAAAGATACTCATCTCTCCATGTCTTCCAGAATGTATCTAAAAGTCGTTGACCTTTCTTCCAAATTGCCAATAAAGTGTTTACAGAGCTTTCAACATAGTCTGGGTCCATGGGATCAAAATTTTCACTATCTTGAAGTCCTATTTTTGGATTCAAAGTGAGGAAATGCGCTGGAGTTAGGGTGATGTTTCAATTAATATCGTCTCCAATATAGACTAAGGGTCTCGAATTCACGACTGCCTCAGCTTCTGCAAGCATCGTTCTCATTTGCTCATTTGTTAAACAGAGTTTTCCTATAGTTTTTCTTAAGCATCGTTTGACAACACCAACCAGACGTTCATAAAATCCTCCCATCCATGGTGCCAGTTCCACAATAAATTGCCACTGAATCTCTTCATTTGCAATATAACTTTGGACATCATTATCAGACGTAACCTTTTCCCAACCTTTATCCAAAACCAGGCTTGCAAGTTTGAATTGAGCACCATTATCAGAGATAATTTGTTTTGGCTTGCCCCAACGCGCAATAAATCTCCTTAGTCCTAGTAGAAACTGTTCTGTGGACATGTCCTGCATGAGTTCAAGGTGTATGGCCCTTACTACCAAGCAAGTAAATAGACAGACCCATACCTTTTTATTGCCAGTTTCTGTTTTGATGAAGATTGGTCCAAAGTAGTCAACTCCCGTGTTTGTAAATGGTGCTGATTCACTCACACGTTTCTTTGGTAGTGGAGGCATCAGTGGCATCTTGTAAGGACCACCCTCAAACCGCTTACAGATTGTGCATTTATGAAGTATTCTTTTTACTTCTGCTCTTCCCTGTGGAATCCAGTATTCTTGACGAACCAATGACAGTGTTTGGGAGACTCCAACATGAAATGATTTTTTATGGATGTAATCAATAATTAGCCCCGTGACATGGCTCTTTCTTGGAAGGAGGATGGGAGTTCTTGCTCCTTCTGAAAGCTGAGCATCCTTGAGTCTTCCAATGCATCTGATGATTCCTTCCTGATCCAATACAAGTCCTAATTGACTAATTAAATTATTTCTCTTATTTTCCTTGAGTGAGGTTTTGACTTCACCATAGTTTTGAGTCTGGATATTCTTGATTATAAGAATTTTAGCATTCTGTAGTTCTGAGTAAGTTAGATGGTTCCAAGGCATTGGAATTTTCTTCACTCTTTTGATAAACCTAAGAGTCCATGCTAAAACTCGAGTAAGGTTTATAAATGATGAAAAATGTTGCTAGTCAATGATGTTTGGATATCCAGTTGATTCAGAATCTGAGTTGTTATTTCTTCCGTTAGGACTCTCCCCAGCCACCAGTTTTGCTTCATAAACTATCTTTGGAGTCTTGCATTCTGATTCTATAACACTCTGCATTTCTTTACAGGTTTGTTGACTGTTCCATGAAGGCCAATTGTCTTTCCTTTTAATTAACCATTCTGGACCATTCCACCATTGTTCAAATTCTTGAAGAGTTTTAACTGCTGTTCCTCTGCTTGCAATATCAGCTGGGTTATCCTTTGTAGACACATATTGAAAAGTTATATCTTTGTTGTTTCTGATTTCTTTTACTCTGTTTTCCACAAAAGTTTTAAGAGGTTTCTTCATTCTTATCCAATGTAATACACATTGGGAATCGGTCCAAAGGATCTTTTCTGTGACAGGTAACTTCAGTTGTTGCTCAACAAAGTTAATGCATCGGACTCCAATGACAACAGCCAATAGTTCCAATCTGGGCAGTGTTATTTTCTTGAGTGGCACTAATCCAGTTCTTGAAAACAGCAGGTTGACCGTACTTCTTTCTTTGTTGCTCTGGTGTAAATAGACCGCACAGGCATATGCTTTAGTTGATGCATCACAAAAGCACATTAAATTGAATGTCACTGTACCAGCGAGTCCTATAAAACGAGGAATAGGGCAATTGGGAATATCATCCAAGTCTGCGGATATATTTTCCCAGCGCTGAATGTCTTCTTTGGTCAGTTCTTCATCCCACTCTTTCTTTTGGTTCCATAATGTTTGTAGAAACAACTTTGTTCTCAAAGTAACTGGGGTGAAGAATCCAAGTGGATCAAAAACAGAAGCAATTCTTTGAAGGACTTTCCTCTTGGTGATAGGTGGAATATGAGTTTCATCTTTTGGACTGTTTATGAATAGGGAGTCCTCAGAAAGTTTCCAAGACAAACCAAGAATTTTTATGGTTTCTCTGTTTGCTTGATCAGCTTGAGGAATACACTGGCTAAATTCTGTGGAGTTAGATGCCCAGTCTCGTAAATTCATTGACATGGTACTGAAGATCTCTTTGGCGTCTGTATATAGTTTCCTAGCCTCTGAGACGGACTCTACACCAGTGATAACATTATCCACGTAAATATTGCTTCTTATGTTTTCAGCTGTTGCAGTGTTGTAGTTTCCCAGATGGTAATCTAAAGTTGCAGCCAATAGAAAAGGGCTTGATATAACTCCAAATGGAACTCTCGTAAATCTATATACTTGAATATTGTTCTCTGTGGATGGAGTTTCAATATCCTTTAACCAAAAGAATCTTGTCACATCTCTGTCCTTTCCTTGTAATTCAATCTGTAGAAATGCCTTTTCTATGTCAGCAATAATTGCAATCCTTTTCATTCTAAATCTCAACAACAGTCCACACAAATCATTTAGCATCACTGGTCCTCTGTAAAGACACTCGTTAAGGCTGTTACACTCTGGTTTGACCTTTGCCGATGCATCATAGACGATCCGTACTTTTGTGGTAGGCTTTGTTGGATCAATGACAGCATGATGGGGTATGTAGTGTTTGACACTATTCTTCACTTCACTGCTCTTTGTCACCTTTTCAATCATGCCTTGCTTGCACTGGTCCTGAATTATTCCATCATATTGGTGAAGCAGCTCAGGGTTCTTTTTTAGTTTTTGAAGTAGAGATTTCAACCTTCCAAAAGCAAGTTCTCTGTTCTCTGGGAGTTCAGGTTGCTCATCCTTCCAGGGCCAAGTGACTTGATATCTACCATTGACTAGTTTTATTGTGTCGTTAAAGTTTTTTAAAGCCTTGTCATCATCTGATGAATGGGGCTGATCCTTGATTCCAATAGTTTCCAAGTTCCAGTACTCGTCTAGTGATGGCTTCAAGGGCAAACATTCATCGACAGACGAATGAAGACAATATTCCGTTGTTAGATTGTTTCCATTTACAATCAGCATTTGGTGTAAATTATCTCTGGATACCTCAAAGTTAGCTTGTGTTCTTCCAGTGAGAATCCATCCTACCTTTGATGAAAGTAAGTATAGTCCTTGGTTAACTTCAATTTTTTCTGATAATATCAAATCGAGGTAATGGTCATTTCCAATAAGGATATCGACAGTTGCATTTTCTGTAGTTTTTGGTAGGGTATCAGCAAATTGAAAATGTTTATATTGGTTGTGTACTTTTTCAGAGATGGTAGATGGTAACGGTCTTCTTTGTATGGACCCAGTTATTTGAGGCACAACATTCGCATCAATTCTCATGAAGTGTCCATCATTTAGTTTAATTCTTAAAGAGACTTTTGGTGTTTTCATTGTCTTGGGCTTCTTTACTCCAAATGTGCTAAGTGATATTTCTTCTGTTTGTTTTCTCTGCAAATTTAATCTCGAAACCAATTCTTCGGTAACATATGTCCTCTGAGACCCAGAGTCCATCAGAATTCTTACAGATTCATCTCTCCTACCTTTCAAATCAGATGCATCAGTTCTTGCAGTCTGCATTAGCACCATACTACTCGAGGAGAGTAGACTGTTTTCTGGAACATCGTGAACCGTTTCTGTATCATATATTTCTGATGTTTCAGTAAAATGTGAGGAATCTCTCGAAAGCGGCATCTTCTTATTGCAGAGACTTCGATGATGTTTCTTTGTCTGATGACAATGGAAGCATGGTTTGTCAACTTTGCAGTCTTTGTTAAGATGACCTGGCCTAAGACAAATGTAACATCTTCCTCTGATTTTCTGTTTTCTCTCATCAATTGTCCTGAAATCTGTGCATTCATCACTCCAGTGATTTTGTTCACAAAAGATACAAATATGATGTTTTCTTCCATATTTGTTCCTTGTCTGCGATCCTTGAAATAATGTTGTTAGGGCTTCTGCAGATGTATATGTCCTTTCATTTACATCAGACATTCCAGGTGGAGAAGTGCTCCTAGCAGGTTGTTCTTCATGACCGGCTACGTTTTCTGTATATGTAGACTCTCTGGCTGCTATGTAGTTATCAAGGAATATTCTCAGCTTTTGCACAGTCCACTTTTCTTTCTTTCCTTTCTGTAATTCTAATTGTAATCTGGCTTCTTTTGGTAACTTTGTTATGATCATGGAAACAAAGACATCCTGGTTAACATCCTGTTCCAATGCTTCTAGGCTGCGCATATGCTTTTCTAAATCATCAAATAGTCTACGGAGACTGGAAGTATTATTAAGTGCAGGCTTAATGTTTATAAGGTCCATGTAATGTTTGTTAATTACAGACTGCACATATCCGAATCGTTCCTTCAATATGGAGAGAGCTACATCATAATTTTCATGGGAGAGCATGAGGCCAGAAATAGCAGTTTGTGCCTTTCCTTCCATTTTACTTACAAGTAGTTGAACTTCTCAATATTGGAAAGCCTTGTGTTTTTGTGTACTGAAGCTTCAAAGGAGTCCCAGAACTCTTTCCACTTTAACTTGTCTCCGTTGAATGAAGGGAGCTCAAACTTTGGTAGTTTAACTACTGGAGTTTCTTTCTCTTTGCATATCTTCTCTTTTCTATGCAGTTCCTGAATTTGAAGTTCTTGGAAATGCATCAGTTGTTCCTGCATTTTCGTCTGCAGATCTATTATGTGGTCTATTCGTGGGTCATTTGGTGCTTCAGTCTTCATATATGGAATGTCCACTTGTTCCAATTTTTTTTTCAATAGTAGAAGTTCTTCTGAGCGCTCTGTAACATCTGTGAGCAATTCAAACAACTTCTCACTATCTTCTGTAAATTTTTCAATTTCAGACTCATTGTCTTGTTTTGATTCCAAGGCAATGGAAAGTTCTTTCATCGATTCTTCTAATTTAGCACCAAAGTCCTTTAACCGTCTCAAGGAAGATTGAATCTGCCTTATCCTGGTTGTCAAATCCTCTTCTTCAGCTTCTGAAGAAAGAAATGTCTTACTTTTGATCATTTCCTTCAGCAGTAGATTCTTGTACCTTGTACAAAGTCCTTTCAAGTATGAGGCTGACATCTTCTTCTTTTCCGTGATAAATTCTTGATTTCAGGCTCCGATTCCCGGGTTCCGGCACCAAACAATGTGGCAAATCACAATTACACGGGAATCTTCTTTTTATAATTTATTCTGACGATTAAAGGCAAAACAAATCCACAAGGGTTAACAATCACAATACCACATTGGCTAAGATGATCAGATGGTTTCTGATATGTATTCAATATTTCTTCAATGTAAACACAATATAAAATCGATAATTTAAGATCACAAAAACTCTCATATATATAGTATTAAAGAAACTTCTGGAAATAGAAACTAATATAAAATTCTAGATCATCACATTCTTAAATATTCTAGAGAATTCTTGATAATTAATTCATGAAACATATAGAACATTCTAGATTATACCTGTACATCATTCAATTTCTAGAAAATACATTAAAATTGCGACAATTCGCAACAACCCTGTCCAGTCTAAAGTTATGTTCTGAAAAATCTAGAACCGCGTATATCCCCTTAGAATGCTCTCACAGAAGTCTCACCTTTTTCTGACCCAGTGGTAATTGGGAAGAAAATTTTATAATGCTTTTCTGATATACTAGTTCATCATTGTGTAACGTCCATTCCTTGTCGTGACCCTACCCTAGCCCCATTGAAATCACAGCTCCTAAAGATGCTTCAATATTAGATTATATTTTTTTGCTCCAGTGGTTCTTGAGAAGAATTAGTGATTATTGTAAATAATAACTTTTATGTGACATGTGCAGTGTTTATTTAGTTTTCACTTATTTTACCCATATCTGTCTTACGGGTGTAAACGTCTTGTGGCCTAGTTTTAACCTAACCCAAAATTTTGCCTTTTAGCCAATCATAATTCAGCAATCTGCCATGCTGCATTCATTGAATTTTGATAGAAGCCACACAAATTTGGTGCAGTGAAATTTGTAAGATTTTGCGAAGTTTATTGATGTACCTACGTCCTTCGTCTGCAAGGAACATCTAGTGACATTATATCGATCATATATCTTTGTTTGGCAGAGAACGGTGAGTGTAAACAAACGCTTTTGCACTACCCTAATTGTTAATTTTGGCTCGGCCCGCCCGTGCAGTGCGCGATCCGGTTATAACCGGTTACAAAAGGGAGATGGACCACAACATGGACGACGTGAAGCGTCTCAGTGTTTGCATAATAGGACATTCATTTGTGTCTCGGCTCCAGCGTTACATGGACTCAAACTCAAGTCTCATGAATCTAAATTTGGATTCGGACAATTTTAACGTGTGGGTATGTGCCCGAGGAGGATTACGTGTGTCCCAGTTAAAGGATTTTATCAAATTTAAAAACAAACCACATGTGTGTTTTATTCAGATTGGCGAAAATGACATTTTGCGCTATGAGATGGAAAAATTATCAACGGATATCCTTTCAATAGCAAGTTATTTACACGAGGGGATGGATATCCCAGTTGTGATTGTCGGTCAACTGTTGCGTCGTCAGCCTTGGGCGTCCTCCAGCGACTTTAATGCGAAAATCGTTGCCGCAAACAATTTTCTTAAGGCAGGATGTTCCGACCTAGAAGGAGTCCATTTTTGGCACCACAGGGGATTTTGGAGTGACCTGAACTTCCTCTGTCATGACGGGGTACACCTACAATGCCCAGGTTCACCAGTCCATGTTGTGTCTTCCTCCCCAATGCACAGATATTGGCGCAGCATTCGTTCAGCAATACTGCACTTCAAAGCTTTTCTCAGGCCAGTATAATTTGAATGATATTAATTATAGATACTGATCGACTGGCTTGTCTTTGTATTTTGTTGGGTTTTTAATAGGTGAAAATGCATGAGAATGAAATATTTGATATTTGTGGGACCATACACAATTTTTCAGTATAGTGGTGACTATGCAGGACCACATGTATAGTTTTACTTTCATTTTCCATGATCAAGTTAAAACCCAGCAAAACTTCTTTTGGTAAATTTTATTGTTGTGGCTTCTTTTAGTACTTATGTGGGACCATACCCATATGGAAGTGTTATTACACATTTTACAATATAAATTGCTTGGCTACTTAATTGAGTATGCAGGGTCATACTCCCTTCTTATAAATATAAATGTGGGACCATACACATTTTATATTATGAATGGCATAGAACAGGTGGTGGCACTTGTCATATTTTGTTTTTAATTCTGTGCGGGACCATACGCATTTAACTCTATGAACAGTGCAGTTACAAATCCTGTGTTTAGCCATAATTTGAGCTAACTTTTTAATGCGGGACCATACGCATTTTACATTGTGAACAGTTCATGTTCATTTGTCATAAGTTGCTCTTATTTCTATGCGGGACCATACGCATAATTTATCATGAACATTTTATGTATAAGTATGTTCATTTTATTATAATTTGCTCTTAATTCTATGCGGGACCATACGCATATGTCATTATGAGCATTGCACAAGTGATATAATGTGGGACCATACACATTTTATATTATGAATGGCATAGAACAGGTGGTTGCACTTGTCATATTTTGTTTTTAATTCTGTGCGGGACCATACGCATTTTACTCTATGAACAGTGCAGTTACAAATCCTGTGTTTAGCCATAATTTGAGCTAACTTTTTAATGCGGGACCATACGCATTTTACATTGTGAACAGTTCATGTTCATTTGTCATAAGTTGCTCTTATTTCTATGCGGGACCATACGCATAATTTATCATGAACATTTTATGTATAAATATGTTCATTTTATTATAATTTGCTCTTAATTCTATGCGGGACCATACGCATATGTCATTATGAGCATCGCACAAGTGATATATATCATTTTATCATTATTTGATCTACATTCTATGAGAGACCATGCGCAGTTTACATTAGCAACAATGCACTCATAGATCAGGGCACTTGCCTTAACTACTTTGCTCTAAATTCTATGTGGGCCCTAACACATTATATAAATAGAGCAAGTTCATTTTATCATATTCTATGCAAGTTCATAACTTTATGCATTTCCATATTATTCATGCTGCTGCATATGCATATTGTCATAGTTTACATTCTTTTAAGATGAATATCATGCAGTACGGCTCCGGGAAGTGCAGGTTAATATCATACTTCTCTGTTTGCATATAAAGTTCGGGGCAATTTGTCCATTGAAATTGTAATCACCAAAACCGTAGTCAATTAATTTATGTCATTTCTTTCAAGACATGCAAGTATCATACCTGTACAAAATATCAGGTCTTGTATTTTGACTGTCAATTGACTGCATTAGGTGTTGTCATTATTATACTTAATGCATACAATAATGCTGCATTGTTCAGACTTCGTATGCATAACTTGTGTATATTGCAAACATATTTATGATATTTACAGATTTTATTTCATTACATAAATTTTCTCAGGTCACCACCATGCCTCCTAAGCGGAAATTAGATGGTACATCGGGGAATTCGTCGAAAACTCGTAAAAAGCGAAAGGTGGGAAGTACTGCTGATGTTACTGCGGTGGCTGAGACAAATGTTGAAAATGCCGAAGCAAATGTGAATACGGTACAGTCGAACGCTACCCCCTCCATAGACTATGACAAGTTGGCAGCTGCCGTAATAAAACAACAGTCTGTGAACAAGCCATCCACGGTGACATCATCAATGGTATCCCAGCAGAGTCAGTCAATAGCTACAACATCAACAACTCAGCCTCAGGTATCACTGACCGGCCAAGGAGGCAGTGCATCTTCAGCTGGAATTGGAACAATTCTCGATCAATTGTTTTTAGGTGAGCCAGCAAGGTCATCCAATCAGGTTATAGAGGTAAAAGATGGTATCCCATTAGGTGCTTCTGTGTCTTTTAAGTTGAAACAAAAAATTTGGAACAATGAATATATTGATTTAAAATCACTACTTAGCACAAAAGATGAACCTCTTTCAGTAACCATTTCTACTGGGGTCATTAACTTACATCAAGGTCAAAAAACCAAAGTCCCCATCACTCTGGGCCAGTGGACTGATGCTTTCCTCATTTTTTCAGCCATCTTTATTGAGAAATTTCCCGATGAGGCCCCTAACCTTCTCAAATACTGCCATATGATCCGTGAAGTGCAGTCCTTGCACGGTGACCATGCATTTAGACAATATGATGAGCAGTTCAGAAAACTCAGAGAATCAGTTAAAGTTCCATGGCAAAACCCCATTCAGGAATTGCGACTCAAAGCTGCAACTATAAAATTTCAAGGTCCAAAGCCTCAACAGAATCAACCCTTTCGTACGAAATTCTGTTTCCAATTTAACAAAGGTGAACGATGCAGTCGAAACCCTTGCCCCTATAAACACATTTGTATTCGGTGCAAATCAAACCACCCCAAATCCAAATGCCCAGATACTCAAAAATCAAGCTTCTCAAGAGCTCCCTACACCCATCAAACCAAAAAATCTGCATAGAGTCTTAGAGGGTTATGAACCACAGAAACTTAAATTTTTGATAGATGGTTTTAGACTGGGATTTAGTCTAGGATGTATAGGTCTTCCAACTCCAACAATTTCAAGGAATCATAAAAGTACAACCGATTTTCCATCTGTCATAGATGATTTTATAGATCAAGGCATACAGAAAGGTAGAATTGCTGGTCCCTTTAAATCCCCACCATTTGAATTTTTTGTTTCATCACCCCTGGGAGTGGTACCAAAATCTGAACCAGGGAAATTTAGGGTAATACACGATTTGTCATTTCCAAAACATAATTCTGTTAACAGTCAAATCCCCCAAGAGTGTGCCACTGTTCAGTATGATTCAATTGACAATGTCACAGCCCTGTTAAGACAATTTGGTAAGGATTCTCTCATGGCAAAAACAGATATTCAGGATGCATTCCGGATCGTACCTATACACCCCAAAGATTATAAACTTCTTGGTTTTTCATGGCAAGGTTGTTATTATTATGATAAATGTCTGCCCATGGGAGCTAGCAGCTCTTGTCAGATATTCGAATCCCTTAGTAAAGGTCTACAATGG